AAACCTCGGCTGGCCCCGCAATTCATTGTGTAGAACAGCTCGCATTCCGAACGCCAGTACAATTCTCAATGGAAGAAGGATGCATGGCGCATCCCCGAAAAATATCGTTCTAGGACATTACCCACTTTGCCGCGAACAAAGCTGGTAAATTTATGCATTGGCACGTACTTATATAAATGAAGAACATTTGGAAACGGACTTTGTAAGAAATTACCGACGAAGGAATTGCGACTACAGTGCGTTTCAAAAGTATGTGCACACCCTCAAAATTCACGTTTGAAAGGGAACCATGAGGTTTCGTGCTATGAAATCCTTCTCAATCGATTTCTCGTAGTCGATAACCTATCAATGGAAGCAAAGCAGATAATATCGCCTCACTTTCGGAAAAATTTTTGGATGAAATTTTTTTCTTTGTTTCAAAAGTATGTGCACACTTGAAGAAGATCAGATTTTGGCGCCGAATTTTCCACCGATTTCAATCCGACTTTGCTGTTTTCATTTCGTCATCATGTCAATTCGCGCCATACTTCTTCCTGAAGATGAGCAAGCTCAGATCAAGGTTCTGCATGATAATGAACGTTCCAATCTAGAAATCGCACGATAACTTGGTCGTTCTCCTTAATGCATTCGAAGATTTATCTGGCACCCTGATAATTATACTCAGCACACACTCCGCTCCATCCACGATCCTTGACTGCTCAGAACAACAAAAGAGTAGCCCACATCCTGTCGGATTCTTCATTGACAGTCCGAGCTCAGATTTTTATTCCAGCCTCGAAAATGACCACTTAACCAGGAAATGCTTTGAACTTCCCATGGAACTTTGGAAGGAGACCTAGATGACATCGATAGAGTCTTGAACGCTGATTACAAATATGGACATTAAAACTGCTACGTGAACTTTATAAGAAAGTTACGAGCATTCAAAGTTGGCAAAAAACGTTACTGAGGTAGGCTTACCTGATGGAATCACGCTCGCCGTGGCTCTGCGCTAAAAACGAGTATCAAATTCGTAATCAGGGCACCCACTAACCCTTATAGAACAAGAAACCAGACAAAAAGCATCCGTGATTTCATCAGGTGAGCTCGCCTCAGTAACGTTTTTTGCCAACTTTGAATGCTCGTAACTTTCTTATAAAGTTCACGTAGCAGTTTTAATGTCCATATTTGTACTCAGCGTCCGAAACTCTATCGATGTTCATAGGTCTCCTTTCAAAGTTCCATGGGAAGTCAAAAACATTTCCTGGTAAGCCCCTCATCCGCTCAAATGAATACACCACTCGACAGACGCTGAGAAAGGCTACTCACTTCAAGGCCCAGCACAAGTTAGCCACATTGGAGTCTGCTCGTACAGACATGGCAACATAGGATAGGACACCGGGCGAAGACACGGTTTTTCGAGAATTTCCTATTTTCAAAACAAGCAACTTTTTATGGACTTTCTCTCCTCAGGTAATCTTAACTCATGGAAAGAGTTCGATCTTGACGGGCCGGGTGGATTTTGCTACTACTGGAGAGGCTTGGCCGTGAGTCGCTCGTGCTCTCGAGAAGGAATTTCGGAAGAGGCCCGTTGATGGGTCTGCGGCGGTTTCGCAATCAGCGGAAATTCAGAAGTTGCCGTTCCATTATTGCGTATGAACTGTAAAGAATACCAAGCAGTGCTCCAATGTCACCTGTTGCCCTTCCTTAGCGAAGCGGAGCGAAAATTGCATTTTTAGCAACAGGACCACGTGTCTTTCGATGCTTCGCAATCTACCAAAGAATGGCCTTAACCAAATGGTGCTGAAGCGATAGATTGGCTTGTGTGTCCTCCTTACTGCAACCCTATAGGGAGCCCTTGATCAAGGCGTTAACTTTAGCAACCGGCAGTATAATACCGCGGATGAACTGAAGGCGGCGGTAGAGGCTATTTGGGCCGACAGCGACGAAACAGCTATGCCAAACGTGGTTCAGATTATGCCGGACAGGATGTTTGAGCTAATTAGAAACTCTGGAGGCCCCACTGATTTCTAATCTCAGCTATGTTTTTGTCTTTTGTTAAGTGTGCTATACGAAGTTATTACTTTTTTCGAAAGTGAAGGCGATATTATCTGCTTTGCTTCCATTGATAGGTTATCGACTACGAGAAATCGATTGAGAAGGATTTCATAGCACGAAACCTCATGGTTCCCTTTCAAACGTGAATTTTGAGGGTGTGCACATACTTTTGAAACGCACTGTATGAGCAAAACATTTGCCCCAGGCAGAATCCGAGCCAGTTCCCATCATTTGCTAGGTAGTGGTACATGTTTTTCCTTTTTTCTTTTTTTTATGTTTTTTTCATTTTTTTTTTTGTTTCGTTTTATGACATTAGAGCTAGACTACATTGCGTTACACTTGACGCAAATCATTAACTGAATCATTCGCCAATCGAATCCGATGCTACTGCGACCAGCAGGACGCGACTCGAATGTCAAACACACCTGGCAAGCCCCGCGAGGTGTACGACGCGATTGCCAGAGCGGCCTCGCTCGCCGTCGTGCGTGTCGTGCGCCTAACACATCCAGGGACAGGCCGAGCTGTGCTGGGTGCACCGCTCATCAGAGCGGCCCCGTGCCCACACATCAATAACCAATAACGTGCGCCTCCGCGGCCACCTTCAAAGTGATACCCCGTCCTGGTTGCTACCCGGGAGCGCCTTAGGCGGGTGTCCGCTTACCCAGGTAACACTGGTGAGTCATCAATAGGGCCTCGCCTCCTGCAATTTTTGGAAAGGCCCTTCACGGGGCCGAAATTACACTGAAAAAAATCTGATTATATGAGTCCGGAAGGCGTTTGATTTGCCCGGTTTCGGTTTTTTTTACGATCTATTCTTCTGTCAATCATGCCCCCTCATTCAAAAGTACTCTCCCTCCAAATTTTAGGACAGCTCTACACGGAGTCGAAACCGTTGAGGAGGTGCAGATTTAAAGCACGTCTCAAATGAAAGGTTGACGGTACCTCGATTTTTGTGGTTCTGTGATCTGTTTTCTTTCAAAGATTGTTTTCTTTCAAAGATTTATAAGTTCCTTCGTTCAAGAAATACTTTGCTGCCAATTTTGGAGTATGCCCTTCACGGGGACACCACGTATCCAGGGACAACCGTCCGGCCAGATGAGTGGGTCGTACTTGCAGTTTTCGGGAGGGAGAGGGTACTATTTGCGGTTGCTACGAAAGTTAACCAAAGTGAAAGGGATCGTTTGTGGATGCTGTGGGTGTCATGGTTGTGAGAGAGGGGATTGCTTAAAAGGGGTTTTGGCGATTTGGAACCTGAGAGAAACTTAGGAAAGAAGCTGGAAACACAAACTAGACTACTAGCAGGGAGGGTGGTGATGGCGAAGGATGACGGAGATGTATCAAGATCCCCTTGTGAGAGGGGAGGGGTGAGGTCGTTAAGTTTTTCAAAATGGGCGACATCAGGGTTGACTCGTCTCCCATCCCTATTTTTGAATTCCACGATTTTGTTCAAGAACACCTAAAGCACAGATTAATCAGAGCAATTTGGTGATCAAAGCTGTTTTAGGCAGCTTTTTGCCCGCCGGCGTCCGCAGCGTGAGCGGCTAGCACTTTCGCGCCTTAAATGATAATGTATTCGTATTTTATGGTTTGAACTCCCCCGCCAGTGAATCCCTAGCCAAATTAATAGAAATACAATGCAATGTAAGACAAATGGGTCAGAACAACACAGGGTTCGTTTCGCCTTGCCAAAGCCAACAACAACGATTGGGTACAAAGGCCAAAGCAAAATCCTAGAGGCGCTCACCTCGCGTCGTGAAGATGATGCATCCAGGATAATCTGCAGATCCATTTGGTCGTATGCACATCTTAAATCGAAACTTCCTAGTAGGACGCATTCGAAATTGATTAAGAAAGGAATCGGATCAACTAAATAGATATGAGAAATAAAAAAATGAACCTGCGCTTTCCGTGTGTCGAGTTGAATTTGACGAGGCTGTCCGTTTGTGGGATGACCACATCGCTTTCAATACTGAAAAGCAAGAGTAGGTGCGCAGATTGGAGCTTTCCCAAACTCCGCTACTTTTCAAAGTGTGGTTGAACTTGGGCGGAGATAGTGCAACGAGCAGCGCCGTATACTACGCGCGCACGATCCCCACAATCGCGAATTAACGGTAAATAGCCTCGCCTAGGCAAGGCGGTTTCTCACGCAGCTTAAGGAGCCTAATTAGCTAGTGGGCAGAACCTGTTAGGAGAGTAGAAAACATGTTCTGTTCCTGCGACTTCCCCCCTCCACCCTTTTCCGCTCTTCCGCTTCCATATGCATTTAATAAGTCCGCATCCACATTCCAACTCACTGCGGATTTTGCGAAGGTGAGATAATGCATGAGCGTATTCCGAAAACGGTTAATCGGGCCTAATTCATTTTAGTCGCTCCATGGTGAGTTTGTTGCCGGTAAGGCACATTCGATTAATCAACGAGACCTCATTAAGGGCATCAACCTTTTGCCATTGTTGTTAGCGTTTGAACCTTCACAGATATATTTTTAGCCACATTCCACCTCCTTGTTATTTCAGCTTTTTTTCTGAACTGGTCGAATGAAGAGAGCTTTTTGAGACATTTTCGGATTGAGGAAAATGTGCGGGAGTGGTAGAGGGAAGTCTAGAATAGGGGCAAAGCAAAAATACGTTCCAGAGGGATGGACGAGACGAATGGTGCCTCCACAGCGGTCATATTCATAGGAAGTGTTACCCTCTTCTCATCTTTCATCCTGAGTTGGAGAAATAATGACTGGGGCATAATTTTTGGAATCCTTGTCGGGATCAGGTCCTTCACATTCTGAATCCTTGAGCTACGCGAAGAATAGAAGAGTGAAAGGGGAAAACATCACTTGGTTCACTCCACGCAGCAGCTGGTGCGCAAGCAGAATAGAATTGCCAGATTTCCTAACAAAATACGGATAACATTGGACGAATTGGGCGGCGATTATTTTCAATACGCGAAAAAAATCGAAAAAGCTAACTTGAATGAATTTGTCGGATTTTTCAGCCAGGTAAAGATTACTCTCGGAACCCGTGTAAGCTTTCAGCTTCTCAAAATTTGCCGTCTCAGTTAGCGCAACAGCATACACCTCGGCACCAGACGAGCGAAGAGAGGCTGCCGACTTCTGAAAATGGTAAGATAAAAAATGTATGGAACAATTTTTGATTATTCATTATGCTTATTCAAAAAAGTCTAAAGCTTCAAAGATGGGGGATCCCAAGCAGCCGAAAAAATCAGAGTTCTTTGACAACTCCGTAAGATCCCGAAAACACTGAGAACTTCGATTTCAGTCCTATTAATGCTAACAATAAACTGTACATGTTAAACCATAATTCAAAAATTCTAATTTATCACTCGAACAGTGCTGTGAAAAGCCGAGTGCGAGCTGATCCTGCCCTTTCCCTTTAATATATCCATCCATAGCTACCTTTCTTAGAGAAAGTAGCACTTTAGTAGATTGTAATAATAATCGACCCAGAAACGGATAATGAAGTGTGGCGCAAAGTTTATTCTGTACAAGGAAAAATGCCAATTATGCGGAGGGTAAACGAAGGTTGTTTCAAGAAGAGCGAAGCGCGCAAAGGTTAGGATGATGGGTAAAAAATAATTGATGATAGTATTCTCCAGCTTCTCTCTTCTTGCAACCTCGGCATAGTAAGTTATATTGTGTGTTAGTTTTTGTGCCTTTCGAGGTTGGTCGGTGGAACTTTTATTATTGATATTAATGATGTTATTAATGGTACATAGTATTTTCCAATTAGGAATTCTTTGTAACAATAATTAAGAGGGTTACAATTTGCTCTCGGGCCTCGAAAATTGCTAAAGTAGAAGAAATTTCTGCTGCTAGCCATGTAAGACTGTGAACAATGGGAGAACCTGAAATGTAAAAGTTTTAGAGTCACCTGAACATTTCTCCATTTCTCTTCGCCACCATTTCCGTTTGACACAATGATGACGAGAACACGGGAGCCTTTCCTGCGGTGCGATTTTATTTCCTAAAAACCACATAATCTTGAGGAATAAGGCTCTAACCTCATCGCAATGATGAGTTGCAACGAAAATTGCATGAACAATTCGTTTCTTGAAGTCACACCCCGCCATCAAATTGTTATAATTACTTCGTTCCTTAATGAAAGTAGAGATGAGAAATGGATGGAAAACAATGAAAAAAGAAACCACCGAAAATACTAAATTAAAGGCTCCTTTTGCTCAGGCTGTGGATGGTTTTTTAAGGACGGACAGGCGAAATGAGAGTAATAAGCGGTAAGTAGAGGAAAGAGAATCGGACAAGAGAGCATATGGAAGCAAACAGGCGTAGGCACGAGCTATGTGATCAATTCCTAGGCAGGAATTAGAGCTTAGTGATCCATAAGGAGCTAGGAATTGATCACGCTAGGTGGAGCGCCTTGTGGATCTCTAGACCTTACGCCTCTAACAGACAGGTTTGTGCGGCCACGTCGGTATATCTTCTGTCCTTGTGAATAGTTCTACCTTCCCCAAGAGCTTCAGTCCAATAAAATCTTCTCATGGGGAGTATCGTTAAATTATCGGTATGCTGAGAGGGAAAATTCAATAATATACTCCCAAATCACATAGTTCATGTGTAAGGAATAAGGTACATTCACAAAAACGGACTGCTTTCTACATAAAGTCCGCACTATTTATTTTATTCTATAGCGCTCGTTGTTAAGGGAGTTGACACTGCGCACAGCACAGTTTGCTCTGGCACTGGGTCTGAGACTTACCGCAATGGTCGAGATTGCCGCTCTTCCTAGACTGGCCGGTCCGCTAGCGTTGGCGACACGTTCCAATTCGAAGACGACCTCGTCTTTTGGCATGAGCCCAAGTGGCAGCACGATGCTTGAGTTCTTCGCAAATGGTATTATGGAAATAGCGAGACGTCTCTGAAATCTCAGACGTAACTGACTATACAGAAATTCATTAAGAAACAGGATCAGGAGTTCGAACCCAGACCTCAAATACATGGGCTGGAAGTGCTTTGAAGAGATCGATTGCCAGTTGCTTCTCTTGATAGAAGATATCTGGAGGTGTAGAGGTGTCTAGCATAATCAGCAGATCGACAAGGGAAGAACAAGACCTATAAGGATGTGCATGCGTGAAATGGCTTTTCACTTGAACCTCATAATGTTACTTACTTTGGAGACTGAAGGACGACAGAGGAAGCTGGCTGTAAAAAAAGTATTGAGTCAGTACAATAGGTGACCAAGAAGAAGAAAAGACAAACCCTGGCCGAACGACCACAGTGGGTCACTCCTTTCTCGGTCTCATCGAGGAACTGCCTAACTCTGGCATCGATGTAGACCCTCATCTTATCACCGGCGTACAATTCCAGTTCCCTGAAAGTGTGTACTTTACATCAGTGTCAAATAAGCTGATACGGTTAAGTTGAGAAAAAGCAAAATAGTTCACGTATGGCGTGTAGCAAAAAGCATATTTAGTTAGCATATTTAGCATATAAAAATACAAAAAGGGAGCGGTAGTTGAGGTTGAACGCAAGTAGGCTCCGCGAAACAAGAATTTCATACGTTATGAGATCACGCGAACGTCATAAAGGCAGCAGTCGATGGCTGAGCAGTGGAGACGATTTAGACACGTCATTGGCTAGAAGGCGTCGAGAAGCCGTCACTGAACGCCTTCACTCCAAAGACGTCCCTGTCTGGTCCACCCTTCCCGCCTTTCAGCCAACGTGACCACTACCTTTAAGGCCATCAGGTCTACGCGTCTACCTTGACACAATTCACTTTGTCGGTGACTGTAATCTACTACAACAGCCAAAAAGGGGGAAAACGGTAATAGGGATTTCCAACAAAAATATCTAGCCATTCAATCCCAACTGCAGCAGAATGCTGGTGCAACGAAAACAAAGATAGGATAACATAATACGCGAAGAAAAATCTTTTCATTAGGCTCTGCCCCGGCACTTTTTCACCAAAACAGATTCTGGCCACACCCTCGCCACGCCTTCCCGCATGATATTTTAATTTCCTTAGGACAATACTATCTTCAGACACGCACCTGAACATATAGACTTTGCTGATCGTCACCGCGTAGACTTCGGCTCCAGTAGTGCGGAGTCGATTCGATGAGCGGATGACTTCATCCCAGTGATCTTGGCTGTTACCGTCAGATAGCAGCACAACCAGGAGGCTGAACATCAAGCAGTAAAAAGGAAATTGAAGTAAAGGTACGTTTTTGCCAAGAAATGGTCAAATGCGATTTTTTCTTATCGCAGAAGAATCTTCACAGGTCAGTGCTATTGCACCGTGGAATAAAACTTGTAAGTAAGAATAAGAATATGTAGAAATAAGAAAGTTTGAAAGAATCCAATTGTAAGGAAATTCTGAGAAATTTACCGAGCATTGCCTCTGCGGTACTGTTCGATCTCGTCGAGGGCTGCATTCACCCCACTGGCCACTGAAGTGCTTCCGCCGGAGTAGCGCAGAGTGAGTAATAAGTCCAACAGAGCTGATCTAAACCAACACATCAGTCAAAAGGGACATTCTAAAATCGCTGAGCAAGACATAGTCCAAGGCTAGGGCCGGCAACAGTTGTTGGAGTGAGAGGTAGAGGTAGCTCAAAAATGAATGTAGGAGTGCGAAATGGACCTCCAATCTAGAGAAAAAATGGAAAGAATCAGTCGAAAACACAAAATTACAGACATATGAGATCACATCAGGGTCCGGGTGCAGCAAGCGAGGGGATGGGTTTCCAAAACTCTGCATCTGGACGCATCCCCCATTCTTACGAGGACTACGTCATCGACTGTAAAAGAGAAGCAGTTTGGGGACCCAATCCCCTTGCCGGGGCTTGCTGGCATCGCCCTTCAGATATTGTTTCCAGAATGTCTAGAAGAGTAAGGGTTAGACCAAGCGAGATGAGGGATAAAAGGTAAAGTAGAGGAAAAGAATCTTCCGATACGAGAGAACATACAGATCAACGACACTGATGATTCGTATTACTACGGTGGGCGAAAAACAAAGGGGAGAGGACCAGCGTTTAGCGCCTAATAACATTGTTTTCAGAGCATCTGTCTCGACGGCGCCTCGCGTCGGACTGTCCCCAGCTCCTCCTCTTTGTCAGCACGACTGCAACATTTCGCTAACATCCTAGGTTTTGCCTTCAAGGAGCTCGAAGGAGCGCAGTGATTGCCTGGCGTCGCGCTCCCCTCAAGAATCTGTACCTGCTCGTAGTACATCAATCTAGGATAAGTAATATAATTTTTTTCTTGGATTAACAGATGGGGGCTTCTGGGCTCTGAAGTCCGATAGTATCACAATTACAGTATAGGCCCGGCGTTGGCGCTAATAGTGCGTGCTTACCAAAGGAGAGCAACAATAGACCACTACAATACATTGACTTGCTTGGCCGAAAAAAAGGCATGAAAACAGTTTAAGAAAGGTAAAAATCCCTAATGAGGGTCTGTAGAACACAAGATGAAATATTTCGTTAAATTCGCTTTTCCAGAAAGTTGGCACTGAAGCCTGCCGTATCATTGAAGTTTTGGAAAATGAAAACCGCGAAAGACATTCCCAGGCTCATCGAAAAAAAATAGAAATTTGCAAGAGAGAATTGTCTAGGTTGGACAAGGTGCAGGGTCGCGGAGGAAAACTGTCTCAAACACAAACCTTGAACGAGGTTCTCCCATAGAAAGTGCAACAGTGGCTTTCGAGTTGAACACTACCACTCCGACACGAATGCGATGCTCGAAATCGTCGGCGGGGAGTCGTTTCACCTACAGAACATTATTTACCTTTCCCTACCTTGAGAGTGGCTGATTACAAGCGGTCCTCACCAGGTCAACGGCGAGCTGCAGTTGCTGCTGGAACTCGGCTTCAACACTGGTCGAGGTGTCCACCACAAACATCAAGTCCGTTGAGCACGGTGTCGATGTGTCTAGAGGTCCTGAATGGAAAACATAGAATCGTAGGAAAACACCGTACTCCCGGACGTTTCACTGACAGTACAAGGAGCCTGGAGCATACGGTATAAAAATGTTATAATCTGAAGTGGAAAGCTCACCGTGCCCCTTTCCTTCTGCAACTTTCAAGACATCACTGGCCGTACGAATCCCGTGAACTCGCTTTCCTTCCACATCATCTGCTCCCGATCCTTCTTCTGAAAAAGGCAAGATAGATACCGTTAGGGCTTGTATAACAAGGCTCCATTAACTATGCGCACCTCCACTTCCACTGGCCTCCACCTCAAAATCTGTTGGTGCTGTCTCAACGACCGTATCTGTTATTGAGGTTGTCGACTCAGGACTGTCAATATGTAGAACCTCAGAGGTCACAGAAAGCTCTTCAGCTGTCACGACGAGCTGTGTGCCAGTCGTGGTCTCGGGGTCAAATGCTTCCAACACACCGACAGTCGTACTGCTTTCGTTCGCAAGAATCTAAACATTTTTCCGTAACCTGCGAAAAATTACTTGAAAATCAACACAAATCACTTTATCACGTGACTCTCCGTTGTGTGCGCAGCTGCTCCTCTTTTTTTACGAATTTGCGTCAAATAGTCACTACTTCAACGATGATTTGATAATTGATACGAAGTTTGTTATTTTTCGTGTCTGATTTAGGATATGGACCGTTTTGGAAGTCAAAAAATAAAGGCAACAACACAAGAAAATGATTTCCCCCAACGTGAAAGTGCGAGACATATGTATACCGCGCTGTCCCCAACGTGCTAAATCGCTTTTCTGAGTTACAGTGGATCAGTGGATAACAGAGATATATTGGCCAAAAGGTGGAAACTCACCGCCTCCGCAATAGACGAAGTTGTCTCCAGCTCTTCACTAATTTCAGTGAACGCCGACAAGCCGTCTTCTCCTGAAGATTCTGTAGAGGGTTCGAATCGCGCATCACTGGCACCTTCTGTCTTTTTCACGATGCTTTCTACTTCTCCGATCTTTCCCTCGACGTCTCCCTTGTCACATCTTCCAACTTCTTTCTTGACAGCATCAAGGAATTTCGTCTCCTCGTTTGAAACAAACACCTTCGATGATTCCCCTGCCCAGACCTAAAACAGAAAAGGCTCTGAACAAAAACGAGCAAATTGGACGTGATGCAAGGAGAATTTCAAAAAGTACCAATTTAAAGGCAAAGTTCGGGCTCAGACCCACTTAATGAGCCTTTACGGTGGCTAGAAGCGCTAGGTACGCAAGTGTAGGGGTCGCGTCACTTCCCTACTTCGAAAACCGTTATTTAGACGCTAGGCTCTAAGAACTTTGACACGCTCCACCTGCTGCGACACGCTCCGCCCACCGCTCGATATCTTGTCTGCGTCGGAATGTTGATCTGCTATGCTCTCTCTACTTAGACTTCTCTAGCGCTCTCCGCGCTCACATTATCTCTCATCTCCCTGCCGGCCTTTTGAACTTCTCCGCACCGTAGAGGAAATGGCTCGTATTTCCTAAGCATTTCACGATTTTTTTCTCTTTTCTGCACTGGCGGTCCACTACCTACCCCTACTTTCACATTTGAGTGGAATTAACCTCATAATTCAATCCTGAATCTTGCCTTTAAGGGATAAATGTTTGAAAAGACTTACTTGTAACTCGCTCTGAGAGAACTCTTTACTGGCAGTGATGGCCAGAAGCACACTGTTCGGAATATCTCGTATCTTCCTGGAAAAATCACTGCTTGATAAATTCATCACTTTCTGATCAAAAATCGGTAATTGTATTCAACACCAAATACGGCTATCTCACATCCCCTCATTGAGCAAAGATCCCAAGTAGTGGTCCTTATGATGTTCCATAGGTATTGTATGTCTAGGGGAATGGAAACTCTGGGAAGTAATGAGCAAAGGAAGAACTGCTTGTTGGTAGTTTTCCGACCAGGGGAACATGTTTTAACCAAAGAGGGTGCAGTGGTGGAACGGAAAATGGTCTAAGTGGTGATAGGGGACATTCTTCTTTAGGGATTTTGGAGTTCTGGATCCAGAATTTGAGTGTGTCAAGTGGGCTTGGGTTCAACGACATCATGGACGCCATAGTCCGTTGGAGAAAATGGACTTGTAGATAGCCTCACCAAAAAAAGGTGATGGGGTCGTCCCCAATTTCGAAACTTTTCCCAATGTTTACTCTGCTTTTGAATAATCAGAAGATTTGGAGATTTGAAAAAATGAGTCGTTCCAACCCTCATTTGAGTTTAAACTGCTCATTTAGCCAAAAGCACGCTTCCCTCGATCTCATACAAGGGAAGGGAACGCTTACCGACAAAATTTGTTTTTAAAGCCCTTGCTATTCCCCATCATAACTAAGATAAAGGAATACCAAAGGCACCATTAAGGAGGATTCCACGATAAGGTCGGATGTCAAAGAAGGGCTATTATGCATAGTCTAAGAGCAAGTGGGTTCCCTAAGGGTGCAGGACAATGAGCGTTTCGCAACGAAGAGTGTACTCTCTTGACCTAGCAGAGGCATACCCGCGCTCGCGCCGCGGCACGCCCACCCTCTCGCCGTCTGACTCTCGCCCGTTTAGCAGAGTAAGCGATAGCGTTGAAGAGAGCAGCACCGATCAGAGGCGCAACAATGTGAAAATCAAAGGCGTATGCTGACCCACAAGTCTGTATGACCTAATCTCATTCAAATGCCACTACGGTTTTGAATGGAAGTAGATTGGATATCTGAAGTAACAATAAACGCCAAATGCTTCATTATTTCATGAGTTCATATCCCTGAGAAGTTTTCCTTGGAAAATTCCCTTGAACTACAGTACAGTCCCCATCAAACTTCGGTACAAAGAAATGAAGGGCTCACATTGAAGTTTCAATAAGATCACGCCAGAAGTCCTGACTGTGACCGTCGGTGAGAAGCAACGTAACGAGACGAGCGGTTGGCCTTCGCGTTCCCA